TGAGAATACCATGGACTGCTAGGAAAACAAACAGATTCGTCCTGGAAAGGGTTAAACCGGGTGGCTCCCTGGAGGCAAGGATTCTGAGGCTCCGTCTAACATACTTTGGACATGTTGTAAGGAGGGACATGTCCTTGGAGAGGGACATCATGCTTGGGAGGGTGGAGGGACAGCGCAGGAGGGGAAGGCCCTCTATGAGGTGGATTGATTCAGTGATTGGGATAATTGGGATGGGAGTGTCAGACAGTGCGACTGGCACAGGACAGAGCAGAGTTTAGGGCTGTTGTACATAGGGTCGCTATGAGCCACAAGCGACTCGATGGCACATAACAACAACCCACCAAAGCCTCCACAGGAGAAAGACACATAATCTCCTCCCCTGAGATTTTACTGCATTTGAAGACACAATGCAGGGTCAGCTATGATTCTGTCTTGATAGTACACAACAAAAGGCCGGGGTAAGTGCAGGTTCAGAAAAGAGGGGAATACCGTCAACAAGATGGATGGGCACAGTGACTACCACAATGAGCTTGAGGAGGACAGAGATCATGAGGATAGTGCAGGACAGGGTATGGTTCAGATCTGTAGTTCACAGGGGTCACCATAGTGGTAGTCAACTTGACAGTACCTAACAGCAACAGGCAGAGGCAACTGGAGCTACTGTTAGCAGCCATTCAGAAGTATGGGAAGAAGGCTACATTGTACAGTAAAAGACAGTAGTGAACACACACTGTTGTCAGGTGTCATTGAGTCATACAACTCATAGCGACCCTATGAACAACCAATCTGAACCTTGCCTTATCCTTACCATCTCTGATATGCTCAAGTCCTTTGTTGAAGTTAGGTGCTGTTGAGTTGACTAAGATTCATAGCAACCCTCTGAAAAATTGCCCTATTCTGTGCCATCCTCATAATCTCTGCTATATTTGAGTCCATTGTTACCGTCCCTATGTCAATCCACCTGATTGAAGATCTTCCTCCATTTATGTAACCCTCCACCTCTCCAAGTATGCTGTCCCTTTCCAAGGACTGCCCCCCTTCAACAACATGCCCAAAGCATGGCATGAGGACCTTTAAGGAACACTGTTACTTTCTCTAAGACAGACTTGTCTGTTCTTTTGGCAGTCGATGGGATCTTCAATACTCTTCTCCAATATCACAACTCAGACATCAATTCTTCTGTCATCCTTATTCATTGCCCAACTTTTAGATGCATAGGGAGCAATTGAAAGGGTTATGGTGCATCATAGCCTTTAAACTGCTCCTTAGTGCCTTGACAGCAGATTTTTTTCAATGCAACATGGCTTTTGATTTCCTGACTACTAGTACCAAGGATATTGATTGTGGCTCCAAGTAAGATGAAATAGTTGAGGATTTAGTCACTCTAGGGAGCTCAGGTGGCCTAGTGGTAAGGAGCTGCACAGCAATCCTGAAGGCACACAGTTCAAACCCACTGCATGGGAGAAGGATGGGCAATTTCCTCCTGTGCAATTAAAACTGCCTCTTCAAAACCTGCTATAGGGTCAGCTATAGGATCGGTTGTGATTGGGTGGTACACAACAATAGGATTCTTAATTGGCCCCTACATTCCATATCTTTTGGGGAGAAAGATGGGCAAGATAATTTTTAGCTCATATCATATATAATTTTCAGCTAGAAAGGTTAAAACGACATTTCCCAGATTACCTTGAAACTAGAATTCAATATTAGGCCATTTGGATGCTTTATGTAAAACTTCAATGACTGAAATGTTTCTGCCAGTTCTTCTGGTAAAAACATGGTTGTGAAAAATGTATGAGTTTTCTATTGCAGTGCAGTTGTGAGTGTTGAGAGGTAGGATGTACAGAAGCTACTTTTCTGGTATAAATATCCAAATCATAGAGGACATTCTATAATCAGAAAAATAGTATAATAGTATTGGTTCTCATTATGACTATACAAGTAGAAGTTGTAATTTCCTCACTGTAAATGAGTTTAGCAGCTCTGTTGGCAGTCTGGTACTGTGGTACTGTTCTCTAAGTCTTTAGTTTCAAAACAAAAGAAACAAAAAGTGAAAACAATTGCCATCAAGTCTATCCTAATTCAGAGTGATCTCATGTGTATCAGCGTAGAACTGTGCTCTACTAGGTTCTCAATGGCTGATTTTTCCAAAGTAGGTCACCAGGATTTTCTTCCTAGTTCCCTCAAGGTACACTCAAACCTTCAACTTTCAGTTAGATGCTGAGTGTGTTAGCCATTTGCACCACTCAAGGCTTGTTATATGAGGTGCCTTCAAGTGAACTAAGCAACGTTATGAATAATAGATCAGAACCTAACTGTATCCATCCTGACAATCTCCATCATGCTCAAGCTCACTGTCACCGTCACTATGTCAATCCCTTGAAAGCTGTTCTCTCTTTGACCTTCCACCTTTCACAGCATGATGTCTTTTTCTAAGGACTGCTCCCTCTTTGACAACATGGCAAAATGTGTGAGACAAAGATTCACCATCCCTGTCTCTAAGGATTACTTGGGTTCACTTTCTGCCAAGACTTATCTATTTGTTCTTTTTTTCATGGTCTACTCAGTATTCTTTTCCAACACCACAGCTCAAAGGCATCAATGATTCTTTTGTCATCCGTTCATTTTCCAGCTCTCAGATGCGCAGGAAGTAATTGAAAATACCATGGCTTGGGATAGGTGCACCTTAGGCTTGTTGGAAGTAGTGATAAATTCTTTCCTATGTAAACTAATTAGCACAAATTCTGTTCTCTGCTTCTGAATCCTACTGATTCAATACTCAACAGATAATATACTCAACAGATGAGTAAACTGTAAATAAAAAGACATCACAGTAAAGAATATGAATATATTTAAGTTAAACATTTTCCACGTAGAATAGATTTACAACATTTATTTTTATAAAGACAGGTAAAGCCATCTTATAACATATTTAATGATAAGTTATAATGCAGTGGCTCAATTTTTGATACAACATAAGATTTTTAGTATTAAGAACAAATTATTTTATTTAACAAGCAGCAGCTATAAAACTATGTTGTTCCGCTGGTTTCTCCTTAGAGAATCAGAAAATAAAGTTGCTTGTGGTTTTAACTTGCATTTATAATCTCTTTAAGTCACAAAATGTCTTTAAGTATTAAATTATAATTAATCTAGGCTAAAATACAGTATTCAGTAATTTCAATATTCTGACTTTACTATCAAATATCAATAACATATGCTATTAAGAAATTATATATTTTCTTGTAAATACAGTTGACAAAATATTGAGCAAAGTATGTAAAACAGTACCTTTGTATATAAACATAGAGCTTTGCATCTTTCTCAAGTTACTGTCATATAATTTAACAACCACTACATAATAGTGGCTCAAGATTTTTATATGATACTTATATAAACTATTAACTAGGTTCTAAATTTGGATCTATTTCAGTGAACTGTTTCTGAAACAAAAATAGATGTTTATGTACCAACTCTCTTTAAGTAGCAGCTTCCTTGAAAAGACTAGGTTGATCACATAATTTTAAAAGTATATTCTATGGTCACAAAGCTTTACATACTAGGCCTTGTCAACAGTGGACACTTGTCAAAGGCTGACTGTACTATTCTTTCCAGGAAGGAGTACTTTATGGGTAGCTGTGAAGGACGTTTCTACTACTAGCCCTTCTACTATTTCACATTTAGAAAGGCAAAGGGCTTAAAACCAAAGTTATTTCTGAAGAAAAATGGATGACTTTCCTCTTAATTTACCAAATTAACTGATTAATTTATTGCCCTTATCAGAGATAGCAGGAAATATAGGACCAGCGAGGATTGCTTATCTCCTGTCCCTTTTTAAAGTGCTAACAAAGCCCATTATCTCTAAGTGGACTTTCACTGTAATGACTGAATGAATACAAGCTAGAAGCATCAGACAGTGTATGATTACACATGAACCAGATAGTCACAACTTTTTAGACAGATGCTGGCAAGTCTGTACATAATCATGACAATCACTATACACAAGTTTACTTTATGAACTTGCCAGACTAATGTAAGAACTCAATCTTAGTGTGACTAGTCTTTATGTAACTTAAAACATGAGTGTTGCAAATCCAATCTCTGGAGCTAGAATCAAAGCAGACAGTCCCAAGGTATTCTGAGACAAATGCCACCAAAAAAAAAAAAAATCAATGTTCAGAAGGAATTCAAGTAATTTCTCAGTCTAATAAGAGACCAGGGTTAATTGAACAGTTTCTTAACCCTTCTGAAAAGGCTTAAATCCAAAGCCAGTAGTCAGCTTCCTTATATCAGCCCAGAGTTTAGAGTGCTATTTTGGTCAAAAAATCAGTAACAGAGATAGAAGTCAGCAGCTTCTGAACCCTTCAGGTAGGGAGAATGCAGAAATGACAAAAACCAGAAAAACAAACACAATTTCTCAGTAGAAGACAGCATAAGATTAACTTTAAAACATTAACAATATTTATGTTAGATGACTTGAAAATGGGGCTTCCATATGGTGATCTTCCATTGTAAATAAGCCTGTAGATCAGAGAGTCCAGTTTTCTGAAGTATTCTCAGAGAGCTTAGAGGACTCTCGGGAATCAGGGTTTTTCTACACGACAGATCACCATCACTCATCCTCAAGTATGACATCATCTTTTGAAAAATCACCAATTCATATGTAAAGAGCAGTACAAACTAGTAATTTCCTTACTAAAAAGTGGTAAGGTCATGTATAATGCCTAAGCAAGAATGAACATTTTTTTTTAAAAAAAGTGAACTGAGGAAGGGAAAAGGAGGACAAAGGGGTAAAATGTGCAAGAATGAATGAATTAAATCTAACTTTTCTGTAAATGTTCATTAAAATTACAATTGAAAGAAAACTTAAAAAAAAAAAAAAAGTGATAAGGTGATGCCCTCTGGTGGAAGAATTAAGTGCATATGCCCCTGAAGGTTTCTCTTATTGTGGAATAGAAAAGGATTATTTGTATTTAGAGTATCAAAATTTGAAATCACTGCAAAGGTAAGAATCATTGTGCTTCAGAGTATCTTTCTTTTCCTCCTTCAAACAAACTAGTAACAATCTCAAACTAGATTCCTGAGACATATTTCCAGAAATCAGGGTGCTAGCTTCAGGAAATCTTGATTAAACTGGTCTATGATAGGCAATTTCTGTTACAGAGATTTACATCTTGGTTCTAGACCTTAACTGACAGGTTTTGGCATTTTCTAACTTGGCTTTTACATCTACAGGCTTCTCAAAAAACTTCACCAGTGCAGGTTCATTCAGTAAAGATGCAAGAATTTGCTCGAATGTGAACGACCATTGAGGTTCCTCCTGGAGAGAGGAGGGTTCTTTCACGTGGCTCTTGGTGGTCTCCTCACTGGGGTCTCCAGAAGCACAAACAGTCCCAGAGCACCCTTTGGGTGATGATGCCGGGCTATGTAGTTTCCTTCCAACTTCTTCCATCTTGAGTAAAAGTCTGGTTACGATGGCAATGGCTTGATATAATGATTCTTCCTCAGGGTCCCCATGGAATAAGTTATACAGGGTGTTTGAAAACTGTATAAATTGTGACTAGAAGACACAAATTGGAAACACCATATATGAATATTGTTGCTGTTGCTGTGTACCATCAAGTCAGGACAAACCCAGAGACAGTAAATTGCACAGGAGGATCCTTACCACAAAGCCACCAGAGCTCCCTATTGAACCATTGTGGCTGTGTGTTGTGGAGTCTGAACCGACCCATAGGTGACCCTCCAGTGGGTTTTCAGAGGCAGTTAATTAATTACACGGGAGGAGATTGCCCATTCTTTTCCAGAGGAGTAGTTGGTGCATTCAAACTGTGTGCCTTTGGGATTATAGTGCAGCTTCTTATCTCTAGGCCAACAAATCTTCCTATTTGACTATCAGATTTAGCAAATATAAAGAGAACTTAGAAGTGACTCACTCACTTGCTTGCTCACTCATCGTAGAGTCAAAACTGACTCATAAAACGCTCTGTTACTGGGTTTCTGAGACTGTAAATTGCACAGGACAATGCCCATCTTTCTTCCAAGGAGCCACTGGTGGATTTGAACCACCAGAAAGGTGCTACCTTTGGGTTAGCAGCACAACTTCCTGTGGACTATGCCACCGGAGTTCCTTTAGAAGTGAACAGTCTCCTTTAAAGAATTTGTACTTCATAATCTTCATTCTAGATGCCACAAAAATTGATAATTTGTCCCAAAATATATCTTAGTTCTAGAAAGTGGGGTATGAGCCATGGAAGAAAAGTTCCCGTAAGCCCTTCCTTTAGGAAGTGATTGTCTAAAGTAGCATAGTCTATGCAGTAGGGCAAATTTTTGGTGAGTTTACCTGCCAGCATTACTTGAATGTTAAATGGTACGTTTAATTAGGCACATTCTCATATGTCCCTATAAGGCTAAGCAAGCAAGGGCCAGTGCTACTGGAAAGACATACTTCTGGGCCAATGCTGCTTTAAATTAAGAAGCCCAGAAAGCAATGACCAGTGTTATTGTAAAGGCTGAAAAACAAATTTAAGCCTTACGTTGAAATACTGAGAGATGCTCTAGGTAAAATCTTGAATGATCCAGGAAGTATCAAAAGAAGATGGAGGGAATGCACAGAATCACTGTACCAAAAAAAAACTGGCCAACATGGACATATTACAGCACGTACCATATGATTAAGTGCCAACGGTAATGAAGGAAGAAGTTCAAGCTGCACTGAAGACACTGGCAAAAAAAATAAAGCCACAAGAATTGACAAGCTATAAATTGACATGTTTCAACTAACAGAAGCAGCCCTAGATGTGCTCACCAATCTAATGCCAGGAAATTTGGAGGACAGCTGTCTAGCTGACTGACTGGAAGAGATCCAAGTCTGTTCCCATTCCCAAGAAAGGTGACTCAACTGAATGTGGAAATTATCAAACAATATTATTACTAGTATATGCAAGCAAAATACTGAAGGTTGTTCCAAAATGGCTGGAACAGTACATAGAGAATTGTCAGAAGTTCAAGCTGGCTTTAGAAGAGGTCATGGCACCAGGAATATCACTGCTAATGTCAGATGGATCCTGGCTGAAAGCAGAGAATACCAGAAGAGTGTCTATTTGTGCTTTATTTACTACGCAAAAGCATTTGACTTTGTGGACAAGCTGTGGCTGCAATTGAGAAGAACAGGAGTCCCCGAACACTTAATTGTGCTCAAAGAGGCTATTGTGTGAGCAGAGCAAGGGAACACTACCTTGTTTAAAATTAGGAAAGGTATGTATTAGGGATCTATTTTCTCTCCAAATTGGATACCTATCCAATCTGTATGCTGAACAAATGATTTGAGAACTGGACTGTAAGAAGAGGAATGTAGGATCAAGATTGGAAGAAGACTCATCAATAACCTGTATTATGCAAATGATACAACCTTGCTTGTTGAAAGTGAGGAGAGAACTTGAACCGCTTGCTGCTGAATATCAGCTACAGCCTTCAATATGGATTCTAGCTCAACAAGAAGAAAACAAAACTTCTCACCACTGGGCAGATAGACATGACATCATAGATGGAAAAAACATTGAAACTGTTGATGACTTCCTCTTACTTGGAACCACAATCAACACCCTTGGTACCAGCAGTCAGGAGATCAGGAGACATACTGTGCTGGGCAAGTCTGCAGTCAGGGATTGCTCCAAATTATTGAGGAACAATGATGTCCATTTGAGGACTAAAGTGTGCCTGATTCAGGCCTTTGGCTTTTTTCAATCACTTGCTATGCATGTGAAAGCTGAACAATGAAAAAAAAAAAAGGATGACAGAAGAAGAATTGATGCCTTTGAGCTGTGGTGTTAAAGAATAGTAATGAAAAACCCACGGAGTGCCAAAAGAACAAACAGATATGTCTCAGAGAAGGTGCAGCCAGAGTGATCCTTGGAGGCAAAGATGATAAAGCTTCATCTCATATACTCTGATCATGTTGCTAGGAGAGGCTAGTTTTTGGAGCGGGACATCACGCTTGGAAAGGTAGAGGGATAATGAAAGACAGGGAGACTCTCAACTAGGTGGATTGAGACAGTAACTCCAGAAATGGGGTCTAGTGTGTGAGAGACTGTGAGAATGGCTCAGGATGGACACTGCTCAGATCTGTTGTTCACAGGGTTGTGATGGGTCAGACTTGACTTGATGGCACCTAACAACATATTTCCCTATATGTACTTCATTCATTCATTCATTAACCAAACATACCAAAAGGATGAAGAATGATTTCTACTTAATTCCCACAAAGGGCTTGAAGTCGGCAGTTCAGCTAGGACTACGTAAAGGGAAGAAATATGTCGGGAGTTTATCTAGTAGTGCAAGATAGATCTAAGGAGCCCATCTGAGCACATAACTCTTTCAAGTTGAGGGAGGCTCAAGTAAAGATGTCAATTGGTTAGTGTGCTATTAGATAATTCTAGAAGATATCTGTGTGACATTTTGTCAACCGAAAAAATTATTTAGTCACAAAAGTCCTAATAAATTAGCCCATCAGAAAAGTTATCTGATCTCTTGGGTTCTTGCTTTCAAAATGACAAAGAAAAGGAGAAATAACGGTTGTGCCAAAAAGGGCTGTGGCCAAGCTCAGCCTATTTGCTGCACAAACTGCACCCACTGAGTGCTCAAAGACAAGGCATTTAAGAAGTTTGTAAGGTTGAGACAGAAATATTATTTGACCCAGCAATTCCACTACTAGGTATATATCCTAAAGAAACCAGAGCAGAGCACCACAACAAGATAAAGGTGAATAATTCAATTGAAAAATGGGCACAGGATATGAACAGATACTTCACCAAAGAAGACATTCAGATGGCCAACAAGCACATGAAGAAATGTTCAAAATTCCTAGCTCTGAGAGAGATGCAAATCAAGACA